GCACCACAGACACACTTCAAGCACAAACTCGTATTTGTAAATAAATCTAGTTAGAACGGCCTCGGCCAAAGTCTTACATAGCCTCGAGCTCACTAGACTCTAATGGAACAATAATAATAATAATAATTAGTAGATAGAGACAGATACATCAGTATAGATTAACAGACGTAAACTCTTTACTATCGCGTTAATACCCTTTTGCAACAGGTGCCCTCCATAACAGTCCTGTCTCTGGTTGACGCAGCCCAGGTATGTTGTCAGTCAGTATCAGGGCGTCAGCCCCTTCACCTTTTCTTTGCAAGTTTGCACCTGCTACCTCTATTACATCTTCTATTGGTGCCTTAGTAGAACTCTTAGGCTTACACCTTTGTGTTAAGAGTGGATCTTGAGTGGAAGTAATGTCAGACTTCTGGTGTCAAGACTCTAGAGTTGGTTTTCGCGGATAGAACGGTAGGGTGCTATATTGGACAAGGAGGTCCTAACAAGATATATTGCTCGTAACTTAAGAATGTATCTTGTCGCTCTCAACTTAAGTTGAACACATCGAGCCATAAGGGTTCGATGCCTATTGCTCAGTAGTGCCAAGAACTACTGATCACTGAGCACCGTGCAGGTGTTCATGCAGAATGCTCAGTTGCTCAGTTGTGCCAAGACAGCTGATCACTGAGCATGTCACGTGACGGGCGGCACAGTTCTGCAGGATTGCGGCGTAGTCCCGATCCTTCAAAACGATTACTGGTCCTTGCGTGTCAGCGTCTTCAGGGATCGTAACACCCTGTTTCTTACGACTTTTGGATTGCTTACTTGTACTAGAGTCTATGGCAAAATACTCACATCAAGATGAGATGTTATGCTTTGTAGAGTTAATAAGTCTAACTGTAAGGGGCTCGACCCCGGAGGGTAGTCTTAAGCTCGGGAGCACGATCGGACAGGCCAAGGTAACAAGATTGTATTCGATAGAGAGCTAAGCTCTCGGCTACGTAGCTATCTATATACAATGCTGGTTGCTAGGGTAACAATCGGGCCGGGCAGGTGGAGTAAACGAGGTCGTAGACGAGTATGGGAGGCGAAGGGCGTTCAGCCCGTTACACTAACCACTATATTAGAGTAGACTTTCCTAAGATAACTACTACTCTTTATACCCCCTTAGCGTTTTCCTCCTTACTTCCTATTGTTCTTGAATAGCGCTTTATTTGTGTATTCAGACTCAAAAACCAAATAGGACTTAGATACAAATTTCTATATAACTATCTTTCTTTATATTACTAATCTTCTGGTATCATAGAGTTAACCCTAACCCTAACCCTTAATCCTAACCCTACCTACCTACCTACCCTAGAACACAATGGGCTCAAAGGTAAATAATCACTCTTGTGAATAACTGCTCCCTTTACATATAATGAGACGAAATTTAAATCTTGTAATTCCATTAATGGAATCTAAATACCCTAGTTATAAGCTAATTTATCATATGTAAAGTGGCTTTCTCAAATAATTAGCTAACATAATTGTTTATGACAGTCCAAACGCTCCACGAATCAACCTCGTACAAACAGGCGAGATGTGTTATATCCAAAGCTAGCTAACCAGAACGTAAACCAGCACGACAATCTTGTACCAGCTTCATTCACATTTGAACATAGTAGCGAAATCACCGCACATTCTGCAACAAAGGAAAATGACAAACAGAATCGTGGGGTCACGAAGGCTACCAAAGTAGATAGAGAGAATGCTCTTAACAAAGATAAGGAAGAAAAATACCTAAATACCAATTCTCACACCCCTATCAGGGCATCTTCTTTAGATATCGACATCACAATCAACAAGACCCGTATTTCTGTTCCTAAGAAAACGAAGAATACACGAAGACAACTAAGAAAGGCACAAGAATTCTTTCAAAAGAATCACCAAGAAAAGGACTTTGAGGACGAGAAAAGCGATGCCTGCATGAACTTCGGGCATAGCGATGACATTTTTGAAAATCTCCGTTCTATGGAAATACTATTGAAACCAGATCCTTCCTACATGGATAAGCAAACTGAGATTACTTGGAAACATCGATCTACTTTAATAGACTGGATTATGGGAGTGCATCAGAGATTCAACTTCTCACCCGAGACTCTGTTTCTTTCTGTTAATCTTCTCGATCGGTTTCTTGCATCGACAAGTATTCAACTAGAGAAACTGCAACTCGCCGGTATTACTGCTCTGCTAATTGCATCAAAATATGAAGAAAACAAAAACTCAAATAAAATAACATTGAAGAAATTTTTATATATGATTGAAGACGCTTATAGTCATAAAGAGTTCATTAGTGCAGAAAAGTATATGTTAAAAAAACTCGAATACAATCTAGGATGGCCTGGCCCTTTGAGCTTTCTGCGACGTATAAACAAAGCGGATGATTATGACATCGAGATACGCAATATGGCTAAGTACTTTCTAGAGGTTGCAACTCTAGACGAACAGTTTGTGGACTGTATTCCTAGCTTTCTTTCCGCAGGGGCTTACTATCTTGCACGTGATATACTCAAAAAGAGGGACTGGGTATGCTTATAACTATATGCTTAATGCTTTTCAAAAGACTAACTAGCCAACTCTAGTCACAACTGCATATTTATTACTCCGAATACACAGTGGACCAGCTGAAAGACCTCACAGACGCCATTCGTGACAGCTGCTATCTGCTTGGAAATGAATCTCATGTTCTGAGAAAGTACGCGGATAGGAGGTTTCGCTTTGTTTCTATAGAAGTCAAGGAGGAGCTTGAGAGAACTAAGAAACTCTCATTCAAGACAAGAGATATATATGGAGAACCTTGATGAGATATATGCTATGGCACGATAGGGATCGAGCGCAAGAAGATTGAGGGGCGACTCGTAATTAGGTAGTCGAAAAACGATTATAGGTGGTAAATTGAGTGAACAAGGTGTCTATCTACTCCGAAAGCAAATTTCAATATATATCACAGTCTAATCGCGTGCTACTCCACCACAATACTTAGGATAAGAAAGATCTTGGATCTAAATAGTTGGCTGACTAATTAGTTACCACATTTGAATTTTGGTGGTAGGCGAGACCTGTTATAGATTGCGAAGACATGCTAGTCCTACTAAGAAGTTCATGTACACTAACTGTTTACTTAGGGTGTGGTCAGTTGAATATTTTGGAAGTGGTTGGTGTGATGGGGTAGGGTGTTACAAGTAACAGACAAGAGGATTCTCACCCATGATGCTGACCTCGAGTGGTTGAGGATATACCAGGATGTCAGCAGGCAAGACGATCGCCGCGGGGTGCGATCACGTGATTACTATCATGCCAAGCTAGTGTCATTAGTGATGACACCTATTAGATGTAATGGCAGGATGGGATAGTGGTAGATCACGTTTATGGATCACATCCTAGCTAGACTGAAAAACAGTTATAGGGTACCCGGCGTGGGTAGTAGTAGGGAATAGGGTTACTAGAGCTGGGTAAATACATTCATTAAGAGACGCGTCCTAAGTGTCTCTAATCAAGCATAGAGGCAGAAATCAATCAATTCAAGCTATAATCATTAATCACCAATCCATCTCCCCGATCCAAATATTTAACTTAAACTATTCTAATCCAAACGTCAATTACTTGTACATCTCGAGTACCTTGTTCTTGAAGAACATTACAATCTGACAGCTTCTAACTATATTAATATGCATGTCACAGTATATTGCTATCCGATACCATTATATACCTTGTCTGTCCATAACCTCTAGCAGGATTAAAGCCAATTTCGACCTTGATCAATTTTTTTGGTGAGTTGCCTGATCTTACTCCTGCAGGTTAACATAGGCGCTGGGAGGAATAGCGCTCAAAATACATGCAACTGTCAGCAGCTCAGCTCTATGCTACAAGACTGTTGCATCGTCGTCTAGTCAGCTTTGTAAGTGTGCCTACGCTATCAGCATAAACATCATACAAAAAGTCACCACGTAGCGTAAGCACAGTTCTTCACATCTGTGAGGGATACAATAGTATTAGATTTAGTATTTAACAAAATACAAGCTATTGTCTATCTATAGCGTGTAAAGGAACTATGCCGCAATCCCTGAATCCTTCTTAACATGCCAAGAATATCCCAAGGGGGTTAGCGCTTGCCCTGTGGTGTGAGCCTCCTTTTCCTAGGTTCCCACAATTGAAAACCACATGATTTATCAGCGGAAGTGGCGGTGCTTCTTCGCCTCGGAGCCTAGCGTCAACATGTCATCATCTTCCCTGCTGCCTCCTTTCACCACTCACAAATGTAACAACCAACAGCTGGCTTGAGATGCATACGCGAGATGCACTAGGCCGGAATTAACCCCAGCCTAGTCACGATACCATAGCTGCTCCCAACCGTCCTTGCACCTCTTCCTTCGGGGCTGTTGACGCGCGGTCCGAACGTGTTGTCATAGGTCAACCTAGTTGCACTGCCCCAGACTCCGCCTTGTCAAGTGGTCAAAGCTTCAACAGTCTATACATAAGACTTCGTCTTCCCGAAGCACCGCTTTCTCTGCTACAGTAATACACGATGTGCGACCAAGTAGTGCTTGGTGCAGCGTACGATAGAGGATCTGGTACGTTCTGTTTGCATTCTGTGACGTAGGCTTTGTGGATATGTGCATGTCTAGTATATCAAACCAGGGGCTAACGTTGAGGCAACAGCAGCGGATGCGAATGAATTGTGTATGCAGAAGATGTCGTCTTCGGACGAAGAAATATAGCACACGGCACGGATGGTGAAGATAGTGTTTAACGAAAAACTCTCCGAAGGACATAACTCGTTAGTTACGGCGCAAGATATCCGTCTTTTCTTCGAGGGCTACTTCCGAGGATGTGGTATATGGATATATCGAAGGGTTTCGCCTTCTAACCGACTAGTGGCTGTGAAGTGGGTGGTGGTGCTGAGCCATGAGAAAGATCTGCCATACTCTGAATGGAATAGGTGCGCACTTGTACTGGAGAGCCATGGCTATCTTTTATATCGCACGATAAGGTTGCTGGATAGCACAGACTTATCTGTCCTGGATAGATGGGCGAAGGGTTGTACTACTCTTGAAGGTAGTGCTAAGCATATTCGCGATGTCTTGTTGCGGATGGGTAGCGAGTGGTTAGGCAACTGCTAGTATTAGGTCTCTTCATGGTCACTTCTACGGCGTTATCATGTAGTGTAAGGTGGAATGGTTATGTTCTGGTTTTTATACCTAGTTCTGTAAGACGCTGCGCTCTATAGAGTAATTGCTTTGGTATACAAGGGATTAAATTTGATAAGGAGCTAGGCTCTCAAGCTAAATGGCTGTCTATACACAATTCCCGTTGCCTAAGCAACAATCAGGTTAATCAGTTCTGGCAACTAAGCGCTGTTCAGATAGTATGGGCAGAATCTAGGTGCCCAGTGATCGCAAGATAGATCGAATGCCGATCTTTAGTAGTTAGCATGTTGATTCAATGATCTATCTCACAACTCGTTCTTATGCTCGTTTACGCCACTATGTTTTGTTTTCAAAAAGAGGGCCTACGCACCTACATGCATGATGGAAAATCTCAATCAAGCCGTAGAAGGAGTAATTCGCATGAAGTGGTATGATAAGATCTAGATATGCTACTGAGACTTCTATCAATCACCCCTCTGCCCTGTCTATAACCCTGTCTTTTCGAATGTCGCAGAAATGCAGAGAACAAGCCTTCTTTTCTTCAGCACCGATACCCGGGACTTCCTCTACTCAAGTATGTGCAACCAATCAACAAAAGATTGGACAACTATATCGTTTGAAACGACGCCTTCATGGAGCTAATTAGTCTTTCTTTGACTATCTTCATCTCCTTGTAATCGTCTTGTGCTATTTCTAAGCTTGTGTCCTTTTTCGTCTTGGAAAACACAATGGTCTTTCCATTGTCACCCGTCGTGGACGAGGTTTTTAGCTTAACAGGTATCCAAGAATAAATGGATGGATCGCTTGCTGCGACGGCGGTTATCCAATCAAATGGCGCATAGGAACGTTGCTTACCTGTGTCTTCAACCCACTGCTCGACCATGCTGTACTCTAGAGTGTTGCTTCCCAAGATAGTTTCACATTCCGACAATCGCAATGTGAAAGGGCAAGTAGACTGGCTGTCCATACTTCTGATACATTCCGTGGGCACGAGCTGGGTTGGAATCGACTCCCTTACTACACACTCCAAGAATTCCTTAGCGGCCCTTTTGTCTTTATGAGTGTTGAATGGGTCGTTGAACAGGTTTCCAGTTTTCTTCAAGGTTCCGTTCATCATGGTAACAAGACTAGGTTCGGGTGTTTTTTTAATATAAATCCAAGCCTCGGTAAGAGGCCCTCCAATAATCAGCACAGCCCCCTCAGTCTGGCAATTCGCCGTGATGAGAGCTGAGAGGTCGGTAAGTATATCATCATTTTCGTCAAGCGCCAACTCTGCTTCTTGTCTTCGGATGTATTGACCACATGTCTCCCTAAGGCTAGTGCGGAGTTTGTTCCCGCGCTCCGGATTGTCCTGTGTGGCACGGTACTTGGCCATCTCCTCGCTGTTAAAATTGAATTTGAAATCATGCACATGGAACGCGTGACGCATGTCTGGACTGGGCATTTTCAGAAAAGATTCTTCGTGCCAGAAGATCTTGAAATCCGTGCGTTTAACGCCACGGTTCTGTAAGGATTCCATAAGACGCAGTGCTGAAAGTTTCGTATACATCTTGGAATCCCTCAAGACCTCATCGTCCTCTAGAGTAGAGTCTGCATAGAACCATTTCTTAAACTGGGGTTCGACGTCGGGAATCTCGTCCCGTATGGGCGTGATCAAGGTTTTGATACTGATCGATTCCTTCATTTCTGCGTAGACATTTTCCTCATAGCGAGGCACGCTGAAGTCGACAATACGCGATGACAGAACTATCGCAATAGGCCAAGAGAAAGAATTCAAAACGTGGTGTGCCATAAGAAAGTTATCCGGGTCTGGTATGTCGATAAATAACACAGTCTTGAACTGCTTTTTTGCCATATTGCCGCACGCCCCTCGCATTGAAGTACGTTGGGTAGATGTTGATTGAGCTGGTGGATCCGAGACAAGAGATGGATCCTAGCTAGACAGGAGCAAACAATCGATGAAAAAGAGGGTGTAACTGCGAATTATTGTGTTTCTGCCTTCTAACTCGCAACGTATATGACAGTATTATAGATATGCAGAGTCTCTCAGCCCTCAGCCCCCAGCCTGTGGTTCTATGCACGGATAGCGAGCGGACAAAGCGTTACAATCGCGTGATGTGATCGTAAGCATGTGATGTACGACGGGCGATTGTAATGTCTGCATAAGCAGCGTGCTCCCACTTCTGTAAGCAGCATGCTGGCCCTGGTTCCGGTCATCGTCAAGGCTATGGTTAGCCTTGTTGTAAATTTACCACGATATTACCGATGATTGACTCAAGAGGCTGTTCATATACCCCAACATGCGATCCAACTGGCCCTAGGAATCCTGACTCTCATTTGTCCAATTCACTGAGATCAGGGAGATGTTGTGTTTTCTTTCGATTAGTGCAAGATCACATGACAAACACCAAGAAGATCAGCCCGTCACCTGCCAACGAAACCAGTGAATGTGGCAGAATCAGGTAGAAGAGTAACGAATCTTAACAATACAGTCTTAATGACTGAAATTCTCGCTAGTTAGTATGCAATGAATTTGCTCCAAGGTAATTTCGATGGAGGCCTGTTGTCTGGGGCTCGGTTCGCATTATGAACTTTGCCGATTGGCACCCAGTAGTGGATTGGGCTGGAAGCTCATCAGTAACTGTGTTCTGATTGTGACTGCTGCCTTGCTGTTCATGCTAGTCATTCATCATCTTCTGCGATCAACGACAGAAACCACGGCCGCCAGACGGTCTCAGCCCAGTTCATGAGCCAATGTAGCACAGCCACGATCTTAAGGGCATCAAAGCAGTTCCGCGTACTTCCAATCATTTTCTGTTCCCTAAAGACCAATTTTTCGCTGGTTTTCGTGACAACTAGCAAGTGCCAATCATGACCTTGTGAGATGAGCACTGGTATCGCTGGCCAGTCCTTGTGCATAGCTGCGGGCGCAGTTTGGCCATCCTCCCAGAGTAGCTCGCATCGCCGCAGCCACGCGTCTGTCCAGATCCCGATTTGTGGTTTACCGTCTGTCCACGACTTCATAGGGCCCTTGGTTTCAATGTTAATGGCAATGGGTAGGTGTTGTAGACGGGTGACATGGTTCCAGGATTTGACCGTATTTGAAGCCAAGGGCCGGAGGGACCGATAGGCGCTTAAAATGATTGAGTCAGGTTGGAGGCAGACAGCATAGTCAATGATCAGGCCAGGGAGGTTGTGGTTACAGAGCGCTGGAGGGTCGATACGAGCAGTTTTTCTTAACAATATTAGCCCACATCGCTGAATGTTAGAACAAAAGAGCAAGACCAAACTCACACGGAATGGACGGAGAGCGCCTTCGAATGCTGACTTGTCTCAAGCGCGACCTTGAGTAGCGGATACTGGACCTCCGTGTTCCACTCATCCTCAGCTCCTCCTGCACCAGAATTCAATTCCTGTGCGGCGCAGACGATGCTAGAAATCTTGCTGATTGTAGGCTTTGCTCCATACCCAGCACGGCGAAGATAGAGTCTGCCGGTAAAGGAAAAGCCTTCACTAGTCCCAAGACTCGCAACAACCTCCGCCAACTTATCCCATGAGACTATAGACTTGTCCAAAACATCTACAGTATCAATCTCTGCGATGATGTCGTCGTCCGTGATAGCGCCATTTGGGGAGAGTGTTGCAAAGCGTATTTTAGAGGGGCCGCAGAAGCTTTGGTCGCGAGTTGGTGTAATAGGCCGCTGGGTTGGCTCAAGACTTAGTGACTCCGTGCGTTGGGCGGGATGGTCAAATGTGTCCTGGATGATGCCTGGGTTGCGCTCGTTGCTGCGCTCGGTTTTGTTGTGCCGTTGCCTACAGCCGTGTAGTACCATCTGTCGGGTTCGTTTGGTTTTGGCAATCTCAACATCTTCGTCATTGTCGCTCATGCTTTCCTCGCGTATTCGCTTCTCGCCTCGCGATTTGCTCGGCTTGTGAGCCTGTTTCCGGCGCTGGATACTGGTTCTTGCTTGTGTCATCCAGAATGTCAAGGCAAGTTCTCTCCATGACTTCGGTGCGTCGCACAGTTCTGGGAACTCTTAGTACATAAGCTCGACATGCTTGTTGTGTACTGGAATCTTGTCGACACCCTGGTAAGTAACTAGGCCTGGGTTGACTTTCTGGAATGCGGCTGTCCCTCGCGCTCTGAGCTCTATCTTCATGTCGTCGTCGTCGATCCCAAATTCCTTGAAGAAGTCATCTTCTTTCTTGGTTGAGAGCTGATCGTAATCAAAATCGTCTACTGGTGGTTTGCGGTTCGCCATAGCTATTCCGACGTTGGTGGAGAGATTGGTTAAATGGGATGGATTGTTGCTAATTGCTGCAGTTTACTGCAAAATGATAATCGCTGCCTAATCTAAGAAGTGAATGAGGCCGCAGTGAATGAGGAGTAGCTACGTCACCGCGGACAGTAGTTATTCAATCGATACTGTAGGTGCCTAGTGCTCGCGCGCTGCGCTTTCACCAATTAGGTAATCACCATTCACTGCTCACTATTCACTGATTCACTACGCGACGCGTCCATGTACCACGCGTCCACAATTTGCCCCAACGCTCGATTTGCAGCGAATCGCCACCAATATCTCTCTATTTCACAAAACTGCTTAACTTGATATCCTCGTTACTCTACTACGCTTTATATGTGAGGAGTGGCGTGTCACTATCAACAAAATGGCGCGACGGAGGCCCCCAAACCCGGATTTCGACTACAACACCACGCCAAAGAAAGAAGATGACTTCTTTGATGGATTTCAGATCATCGATAGCGACACCAGACTCGAGCTCAAGGCGCGATGCAAGAAGGCCTTTCTACAAATCAATCCCGACTTGGTAGCCTACTATGGCACCGATAAAGCTGCTCTTCATAAGAAACACGTCCAGCAAATGTATCAAGCATCTCCTGAGCTCTGCGAATCTCCAGAGCCATGGAAAAGACTGGCCATAACGTGGTGGATGACCCAGGCTCGGACCAGCGTACACAGAAGCAGACCCAACACAGAACACGGAAAGCGCAAGCGCTCTGTCAGTCTAAGCGACGACGAGACCCGGATTTCGCCACAAAAGAGGACTAGAAGACGGCAGCCCGAGAATGAATACGAGGGAGACGCATCTGTTGTAGAATCGATTGAACCATTCAACAGCGACACTGTCAAACGAATGCAGTCTCTGAGTTTGCAGCCGTCCCCATCACCACAAGTACCGCGCCGAGCCAAGCCCTTTTGCGGACCCACTCAAATCCGCTTTGCTGCACTTTCATCAAATGGTGTCATCACAGACGACGATATTATTGCGGAAATCGAGATGGAAGAGATTTTGACGGATTCAACAGTGTCGCGGGAAAAGCCTTCTGCGATAACCACCAGTCTTGGTGATTGCAATGGGTTTTTCTTCATTAGCAAGCTATATCTCAGTCCTAGGTCAAACCAACGATTCGCCATCACTCATCCAGCATTGCTAAGAACTGCGATGAGAGATTTCTTCCCCGGCTCAAAAGTCACATGTACTACTTCACCAATCCCAAAGGCGTGCCAATCTGCCCCAGCGATATCTCGTCAACAGGACCTGAGCCAGGATGAGTCTCAAGAAGAAAGGATGAGCTTTCCAGACAATAGGATGGAGGGGCTCTGCCAGAGCTCGACGTTGGACTCTTCACATCAACGCCGCTCGCCAAGTAGTACTTGGGTTGTCTGAATTTGAATCCTCGACGCTAGAAACGAGGCCATTAAAGAGTCCCGGCCGGATCTGGAAATCAAAAACACCAGGCCAGTCAAATCACCAAGACGATCTCATTGGGGTGCATGGAGGTCTGGGCCAATTTAGTCCCACTCGACGCTCCGAACAAATAAATCAAGATCACGGGGAAGCTTTACACCGCCACCCAGATGGAGAGCAGCGAACAAGCTCGCCTATTCCCCGTTTCGGATCGGCTAGTCTTGATAGCCCGCCCGCTTTGTCAAGCAACGAAGACGGAACTAGGGACGAGGCTGTGATGGACAACCATGATCAACACCATCACGCGGACACGAGCGACGAGTTCATCCAAGGCTCTCAGCACTCGGGAACTCATGCGTGGACTCCTATAAACAAGTTGACTTGGCGGTGCGATGACAACAACGAGCAACAAGAACCAAATAACCAGAACAATACACACACTGACTCTGGAACCACCTCTACACCGACCGCCAGGAAGAACACCAGTTCATCGACTATCGAGTATGGCCCAACCACGCGCCCATCAAGTCTATCTTACCACAAGCCCATAGGCAGTGAGATGACGGATCTTATTGTTATCAGCGACAACGAACCCGATAGCTCAACGCGCAGCTCTAGTCCGCAGATAGTCACACCAGTATTGGACACCAGGCCACCAGAGATACACTTTGATGAGGACGCAGATATGGAACCAGACGAAGAGCTCGATGCAGATGCCCAGGCTGAGGCTGCGGCCTTACAATACACTCTCTCGTCTACAAAGACGGTCACAGCAAAGAAGTGCGCCGCGAGAATGGATCTAGACATATTCAAACGCGCCGCAGAGATTTTTCAGTCACCCTTGGCACACTTGCAAACCACAAACGGGGAGCCGCGCGTCCAGGTACCAGCTAGCGTGGGACTATCGCCCGGCTACAGAGCCTTCCCTCACCAGTTCTCCGGTGCTGTCGAGATATACATGGATGTGTTTGGAGAAAAGCGTGGCTGTATCTTTGCCGATGAGATGGGGTTCGGCAAGACGCACACAACACTGTTGACTTACTGGCTCAACTTCATGGCAGTGGCTCAGGAGCACAGCAATATCAAGCCCAAATTTCCCACCACATCGAATGGCACCATTCATGGTACTCGCCCTCGTGTTGGAGCTACCTTTATATCAGCCAGCCCACAGGGGCTCAAGGTGTGGCCGCAGGCTTGGCGGGACATATTCCACAACAGTGGAGTATGGAAGCAATTCCCAAAAGCTTGGCGTCCGAAACTCGTCATACTGCATGGAGATGGCGCAAGATATGCCACAGAGTTTGGTGGAGAGGAAAACGGCATCTATTCAAGAATGAGTCCACTGGAGTGGGCGGAGATATTACCACGCCCAAACTGGGACAGGTCTCGTGAGCCAACACACCCGCCGAGCAAAAGCTTTGATTGGAATTTCACAGAGCCATGCAACTGGCCAAGGATAGATGGAGCTACGGAACACCAACCTACCCCGAGCAGCACTCGGTATGTCATTGTGTTGACAAACCAATCATGGAGAAAGCATATTACGTACACATGGCAGCCGAAAAAAGCCAATAGGGTGTTGGAGATGGAATTGGCGCATCATACCAACGAAAAACAGAGGAAGCCAACACGACAAAAGATGCAACAGGAGATTGACTCGTGGTTCCGAAGCACAAGTGGTGGAATTGATGGCACTGGGCCTACCCAGGCCCGACGCCGTGTCAAACTCAGCAGCAAACCGCCTACATCAAATTGGAGGATTTGCGATTTGGCCTATGCAGCCTGGGTATTCATTGACGAACTGCATGCAGCCAGTTCTATAAACACGCTTACTTATACCGAAGTGGTTGACGCCTTTCGACGCAATCGCCAGGAACGTGACTGGCCAGGCGTCACGGGGATCACAGGCTCAGCTCTGGCAAACGGCATCGATACAACCATAACATTCGCGGCCAAAGCCCTCAAGCGCCAGAGGCCAAGACACGACGCCGTCCAGTCTCTGTCAAGGCTCGACACTTCCCAATTTTCAAAAGCGTGGAAAGAGACGCAGATGATTTTCAAGAGTTCCATGAAGAGGCTCCCCCAGAGGAGACAACATTGGACCGAGAATGCAATAGCTCGACAGCCAGCCATCAGAGACATGAATCAGTGCTTTTCTCGCATTACTCAGCGTTTCTTCATTCTACGAGATTACGATACCGAGAGCCCATGGGGGGAGAGGCTGAAATTGGTCAACGCAAAACTAGACATCAGATACCAGGAAATTCAGTTTACGCAAGGATCCCACAATACGCTCATCGCATGGGAGGAGAAAGTACGAGCGGCTGTCGAAGGGAAATGGAAAGATGCCAAGAGAGAATGGGAGGAGCAAGGGTATTCTGGCGAGATGCCTCGACAGCCAGCTATCGACAAGGCCGATCCAGCTGCGTACATGACTGCACGAATTCTTAGCAGTTTTCCCAATCTCATCAATGCCATCAATGCATGGTAGAGAGAAAACCCCAACAAGCAACCCGTCATAGGGCATCAGTGCGAGTGGGGCGAGGCACTTGGTGGTAGCAATCCAGTCATCACACACGCTTTACAATCAGACGAGAATATCCGGGCCTCTTTTCTATGGGACATTGCCAAGTACGCCTGCCAAGGATCAGCCAAGATGGATTTCATCCTACATGAGGCCAGGTCCATGGTTGGCCAGCAGACTACCATCTCTCACCCCAACCCAGTCAGCTACCAGAAAAAGTACGTGGTGGCTAGTTCCTTGCGGCTAGCGCGAGCTTTGGTATGGTGTCGATTAGTACAAGAATTCGGAGACAGGAGCGTAGTCAGCGTCACCAGCTCCAAGGATAGAAGAGTCCTTGTCCCGCTCTGGCAAGACATTCATGGTCCGGTATGGATTATGGTTGCTGGTTTACAAGTCATCTGTCAATCTATTACGCTGGTTGAAGGAAGTCTTCTCCATGTTCTGGAGCCAACACCAATAAACAATGACGCGGTACAAGCAGCCAATCAACAGTACCGAATAGGTCAACAGCAGCCAGGGGTGGAGGTTAGGTGGTTGGTACACAAAGACTCGTTTATTGAGTCAAATATGGCGAAGAGGAACGATATAAAGAATCGATTTGCAGAGGGAGTCAAGGGCTCTACAATCAAGGACAATGAGACAATGTATTCAATGGAGGAAGATGACATGGAAGTCGAGGGCTAAATAGCATGTCATGGGACTTTCGCCAGTTTAGGCATATCATGTACAGTAAAGAAGCAAGCCATTTACCCCATCTAGTTTCGCCCAAGTATGCTTTCTTGACTGTTTTCGGTGATCACCCTAATCTTCAAAATATGATTCTATATAAGATATGCACGGGTCTAACAGGGACAGCCTCGGAGTATTAGCGCGTCTACTCCAACATCACTAGTAGATCCAGGATAGGCAAGTGTGCAGACTTTGGGTGGTACAAGACCCATATTTCATCTCATTTGTGTAAGGGGCTACGCTCCGTGGAGCAATTGCTTGGTATACAAGAGTTTGTATTCGATGGAGAGATTGCTTCTAGGCTACGTGGCTGTCTACATACTCGCCAGTTGTCCAAGTAACAGTCGGGCCGATTAGGCCCTAGTAATGGCTGAGCGCTGTTCAAGACAGCGTGGGTGGGGTTTGTAGGGACGACCCGAGATCTCATCGAGGAATAAGACCAAAGGGCACCAGCCCGTTACTGGCATAATGCTATCTAGTGCGGGTTATGCGACTGTAAACGCGTTTGTTCATCAGTTCATAACTATATTATAAGCAGTTCCTAGTGTTGAGTGGTATATGTTACTGCTCAATATAGTGTAGACTGGCGATGGTCTTTTTGCATTTCAACACCTAGCGCGTCTTAGGGATTATAATGTATTGTCCTGCTTCACCTATTTACTGTTATTCTTCTCTAAGACCGCCGCCCATCACTTGATGCTCTCCAACAACTCCTAAAACCCTCCAGCCGTCTTATCCTCAACGTGTGCGCCCACCTATCGAAAACCATTCCTATCGATTCTGCTATAATAGCGCGGTTCCATACTTCGCCACAGATAGAGACCTGCGGTGCGATCATCTACACTTTCTTTTAGAGCTAAGGCTGAACTCTCGATTAGATATATGTAGCGAGGGAGGCTAGCGACCTCTATCAATCTGCTTTATTTCGAACATAGAAGTGAAAAGTGGATTAGTCTTACTGCTTATAGCTGTTCATGCCGTTTTCCATGTCCGGAATGTCGCTAGCCACGATGTAATCCTTGACATACGAGTGTTTAGTGACTATGGCATCAAGGTAAGCGAGCGAGTACATAAACCATCGAAGAGTCGGCCGGCCCGAATTCACCCCTACTAACAGAATTGACATTGGTTTTTGTCGTTGATGATTTCGCTCTTTAGATCTTAGTAGGCCTTGATTATATTCCATGCTAATGCCAAGGTGTATGATAGGTGGTATTGGCATAGAATCGAAAGGCTTTTTCAGCAATACCAACAGGCCCATGACTACATCTAGATTGCGACTTTTAGTAAAATTTAAAGAATATGTGTTCGGCATTACTCTACAGCAGTTCCTAGACGTCGTTGAAGTCCGCAACGGTTGCAGTGGTTATTTCAACAGCTATGGTCAAAAGCTTAGTGGATGCAATCTTCTTAGCAGTTTTGTAGAAAGAATAGCTTACCATGCGTTAGAAATACCATTTTGAACATAATTCGAGTCGAATTCACGAGACTGCGCCCCCGAACCAGAGCCTAAACTTGGAGCTACCATATGGCCCAGCTAATCCTCCAGTTGGAAGTCAGCTAGTCCCACAGTTGCCGGTTCTATCCAACGCGTTAGTTCTACACTATATCGCCCGCACATGTTGCTACTTACTGACATAAGCGGGATCCACGACCTTTTTGCCCGTGATCCTTTCGATGTCCTGAAACACAAGGTCGATGGGAATGAAGAAATACGTTCCGGTGCTACCCATTCCAAAAAGCAGCCCTAGCTGCGTTCCGGATGCTTCATGCAATAGTATACTACCAGAGTCTCTAGGTTCAAGGAATGACGGATCTTTTGCGTTGACCTTGGTTACACCATAGCACGCCCCAGGGTTCTTTTGAGTGAATCCATGGACTGCCGAAATCTGCTGATCTTCCTTAGGGTTAATGAAAACAATGGGAGAGTTGATCTCTCCCAAGGTCCCGCCCGTGGTACGTCCAAGCTTGGCAACAGGAACATGCTTTCTGTTGACGTTGAAGGCTGACCATTGACTGCAATGCTTCTTAGGCACCAGCGGTGACGACAACGGGAATTCACGTTTAGGCGGGAGCTGATTGACAACGTCGTGTTGTCGGATGTCGACGCTCACTAAAGCCCAATCTAGAAGCCAACGATATTCACGCTCCTGGTGTCTCTTCTTCTCTTTGGATCTACCTGTCTCTGGTTCCGTCGCATACCTGTTCGCTAAAACGGTCCTGCGGCCTGAGCCTGCGTAGACGACACCAAGATCGAGACTGGCCTGTTTCACGTCCTCGCGTTCCTTTTCAGTCGCTTTCAGAGCAGTTTTTATATTCCCCTTTCCCCTGGCAGCATCACTTTTGTATGTTTCGATCGACACACGGAGGAAGTCTAGGTAGCTGTTATGATCATTTGTCGCGGGAGATAGGATGCGTTGAGGAGCGTTCGTCAATGTTCTGTTACCGACCCTCAGAGCTCCGTCGTTGGTCTCTGAGACAACTATATTGGGGTTAGTTTGAATACCATGAGACTGGCTGAAGCTCTTACCTTGGTCAAGTCGGTCATCCCTGACACAGTGCCAGTTGGTAATGCCGCATTTGACGCCGCCCTCAAGTGTCACAGCTCCTCCTAGAGTGCTGCACGCATTGGGCACACTGAAAATGCCAATAGAAGAGCCCATGTACACGATCTTCCCGTATGATATGCTCCTAACCAGGTTGGAGGGCTCGTACTTCCTTCTGGTACCTAGGAGTGACACGCCACAGAGGATTTCGACCTTGAAGTCGGGAGCAATCTCTATAAGAGCAGCTGAGATTTCGGGAATGATAGTTGTAGTCCATTTGGGTTCGCGCGCAGTACGTGTTGTAATCACGATAGTCGGAGGGCATTCTCCAGGGTCGTCGCTCCAACCACGGCGTATCATTTCCAAGGCAAGCCACTCATGCTGTTCCAACAGCCCCAGGACGATTGGCGCTACAGATTCCTCCCATCTCTCGACAATGCGGGAATCATCGCAGTGGATTGGAAAACTATTGAGAGAGTCTATGACGCGATAGTCGATAAACTCGATCTGAATGTCGTTCGTAGAGTCATGTTGTTTGAACACCGACCTGATTCTGGTAATGGCGTTGACAACGACATGCGCGTGTTCGTGCATGTCGATAGGGCAGAGGAGGGTCAGGTATGGTGAAAGATCATCTGTTTCTGGGGCATCACGAGGAACCCTGAAGACAAAGCCCTGTGTTTCATTCCAGATAACTTGAGACTGCAGAATAGTGTTTGCTTCTTCAATTCTCTCGTAGGCATCTTGGACCATCTCGAACGCGCCTCCTCGGATAGTATCGATAGGCATGGGAGGTAGGGCTGGCCACCCAGCACGGTATTCGAGCTTTGATTGATCCATCTCACGCTGGATCTCTCCATCGGATCGTGAAAGCAATCGACGTGTCTTGCGTTGATGGACTGCTTCTGCGTCCAGCGGGACCGGGCTGCCAAACCGCTCTGTCATTGTATAGGACTTGAAAGAAGTGACGAGGAGAATGTTTATGAAGTAGGGGCTGGGCTGGGTGCAGGTGCGGGTTGCAGGCAATTAAGTTGAGTGGAGGATACTAGATAGCAAATATTTTGGTGGGTGAGGTAACCTGCCACGTGCCTGGGCTGTGCTTTTGGGTCCGCGTGCGCCAATCAACAACCACGTGATTCAAATGCATTCAGCAAACGAACAGGCGGAAGTTTAGCATATGAATGAAACAAACATAGGACTAGTATTGATTTTGAGGTGGTTAGTAATGATGGATGCGCAAGTGGCGGGCGTGGTTGAGGACGGTAAAAACGGGTGCCGCTGTGGGATCTGTTACGTAGATACCCTGACTTCTTTCACTACCATAATTGCTGCGGCTGCGTGCCTATCTTGGCCGCGCTGGCTAGTATAAAAAACACGGTACTTGATCCTTAGACCCTCCCCCAAAGTCACTTCGCGATGAGACAACTACACTAAGTTGAAATAGTTGAACTGTTGCTTTTTGCTATACTGGCATCCTTCAGATTGTAACTAGAAAAGTGCCCAGGCCAGCCGGCAGATTTGATCGCGACATATCTGGAACATTCACTCGTCTCCTCCGCTTGCTAAAAACCCTCGTGTACAGAGATAGCGATAGCCTTGACCAGCACATCGACGCGTTGTATACCTTGCGAACTAAGATGCTGAAGCGATGCGAATAGTTCTTATATAAGGTCGTTATGGCTATATAGGAAGTCTTCAATCCTGAAGAAATTAAGGGTTTATTCTTTCTCACGCGATCCAACTAGATACAATGAATTATATTACTTATAGAAATCGAATCTAAGCTTCTTGAACTTGCAAGAAAGCTGGGTTTGTAGATCGATTTATCCGCCCATGCAACTTGAGGGTCTTCTTTAGGCCAACCTAAATGCATGCCCGCCAAACCTACAATCCTCCCCGACCGCACTCTCGCCGCCCACCGAATAGACCCCCGAAGCGGCACGGTCGATCTACGACGATGGAAAGAAGATACGCGACGGCATCATGAATGATTATGGCGAAGACTTCGATTTGGCGTCTCTTGAGTGTAGTCTTGAGGCATACCTTATCAAGAGGGTTACTCAAGCCTGCAATGACGTGCTCGCAGCTGGAGATGGAGATGGAGACAATTGGACCGAAGCAATGACAGCGACTGGTATTATCACGAAAGAGCTTCAATATGCAATCATAGATGAGGAGTTGGAGACTATCCGTGGTACACAGTCTCTCCAGGCTTGGCTCGCAGAAATCTTCGGCAAATACTTCCGCACATTCGAATACATGGATGAGATCCTTCTGGAATAGGAAGAAGCGAATTCGTCAGTGCCGCATCTGAGGGGAGGAGCCGGCGAAGAAGACATTGCACCACCACCACCTGGACATCGGGCCTTATTCAAAAGCGTCGAATTTCACAGAGCGCAGGGCACCTTCTGTGACAATGAAATCGACCTAGTCAGATTAGTTTCAACGTTATGCCCTACGGACTTGCAAGGCCAAGGGCGACAGATACCCTATGTCGGAAAGCTAGAGCTTACAGTGCCGGCACCAAGCTTGCGGCTTCGAAACCCTGTGGCTGTGTAAGCCCCAGAGTCTTGTCAGTAAGTTGAAGATTACGTGGTAGTCAGCTTTGGCTTTATAATCATAATCTCTCTTGTATCATAATAACACCTCGTTAGCCCAATAGTAAAGATCCAAACTCTGTACAGTTGTTAGCGATTGCGGCTTCACCCTTCCACGCAACTGCGCAGCGGTTTTGAACAGCCCCACCTTCCATACATAGCTTAGCGCAAGAAGCTATCCACAGTACAATTGATATAATTGGCCAATTCCTAATCTTATGATAACTGGACTTTTGAGATGCTGCCTGCGGAGGTGAAGCCGTAGTCGCTAATCACTGTATGTATGCATGTGCACATGTAACACTTACTGTGACTTGCTATAGCGCCCTACATGTTGCCTGCTGCTATTGTAGCTAAGGGAGAGAGGAGCGTCTACTAATTAGAGAAGAACATAGAGCCTGGCATGAAACAATGAGACCTGCATACCTACTATTAATATACTGTTCTGTGTTCTGGCAGGCGTTACGAAGTGCGATATCTTGATGCAGAAAATATGTTAGGGTTGCAGGTAGTAAATGAATAGTCTCTGTAGTGCCTATAGAATAGAACGAGTGTTTCCAAAGGCATTTAACAATGCCCTTATTGCGTGGAGAAGTAACTACTAAGCTTTAGTAAAGCGTAATTAGAGTTTTCAGGCAATAGATGAGCAGTGGGTGAGCAGTTCACTTGGCCTCAGATCAGTAAAGCGTTTACATCACGTAGCAGGTTACTAACTACTAGACATTGCGAAGCTTTTGACACACTATCACAAACAAGACATTAGAGAATTTACACAGAGTTGGCTCTTAGTCTGAGGATTGTATGCCAAGACATCTTCAAAGCAAACAGGTTATACACATCATCTAGCGCTATAAAGCGAGCCTGTTCTGTACGCAATGTTTTAGAATCCAACTCTTACTAGAGACTAATCAAGCATTTCTTCTACTTATAAAAAGACAAACCCTCTTAAATATATCTGCATTATACACAGATTATACTACAATAAAGATTATAGCGCTTTGCTCGCTGTTTATAATCGCCGTAACTGGCCAAGAGGAGTATAGCTGCGTGCATGACGGCATACCAGCTATTGCAATCACGGCGGGATAGGGCACTAAGTCTCCTGCGAAAGAGTTCTTCCTACCGTTGTTCGCTAACTGCTCAGATGCGGAGTTGAGAAGGCCTCAGTACTATACACCAGGGACTTTGGTGGCTGAGTTGTCTTGCTATAATGCTAACTAAAAATAGGAGAAGTCTCTGTAAATAGAGAATGTAGTGCCAGAGATGGCCAGCTCTTTCGTAGCTACAGGAATCACTAACCAGCTCGGATTTGCTAGAACTAAGCAAGCTTTACGTCTCGGTGAGTTCTTCCCTCTTGATCTAGTACGTTGTGTTGCTATCTCAAAGGATGCGATAAAAGTGTTTAATAGCAGCGCCTCGACGAACATGAGCTGAAGCGGAGCGGCTGTGCCTATGTAAGTGGGAATTATGAGGCTTGCGCACTTGTGAAAAAGTAAACATTGGTCGGACGAGAAAACTTCGATATGGATATTTGAAACTAGTTTCTGTATTAAATAGAGTAGCTTGAGAATACAATAGATCGTACCCTCTATTAGTTCTCTAATCATATGTAAGCTATCAAATATTCTAAGCTTGATCGCTTATTGTACAATAAGATTACTTTATAGAGGTTCCGACTGTTGTTTTTTATTCTGCTCATATAGTTGCGAAGGTAGAGCGGGTAGACTCTTATTCAAGTCTATTGGCGGAACCACCTGAACATAGCCACGTCTTAGTGGCCTTTCTTTTACCGTGATGTCCATTTTTCCATCATTTACTAGAAGTTGAGGGTCTTTCTCTTTTGGCACAAACTGCAAAGCGCCTTCCGAATGTCTGTTGGCTACGGAGTGAGCCCAACTATGCCTACTGAAGGTTGATGAGAGAGCCACCTGCATTTCTCTTCGTTCGAGGCTTTGCACTCTCTTGCTTCTGGTAGAAGCAACTTGATTGGGCTCCATACCGTATCTAAAATATGTCTCGGTGATAAATATCCAGAATACGTGTGTAAACTATCCATCGAGATTGTTCCAGCTTCAAGGGCCAGAGACTTTCTGCAGGCCCAGTCTGGGCTCTCCTGATCTGGCGTCGAACACGTGCTATACATGTGTACACCGTTCATTCCAATGTTTCCGGCCTCAATGGCTAGAGATGTTCTGCAGGCCCAATCTGGACTGTCCTGATCCGATTGCGACCTACATTCAGACCTATTAGGATGCTGAATATCCAGACGTAGCCTTCGAAAATTTCTCGAAACTGGATCAGACCTAGTTGATACCTTCGTTGGAATACCGCCTCGTTGCTTTAGAGAGACTGGTGAATCTCTCTTTGGCACGGCAGGCGCAGCTCTCGGTCGCTCGTATCTCGTATCTACACAGCCCAGATCAAGGACACTGTCAACTAGTGAACCATACTGGCCGATCATGTATTCGATAAGCGCAGCCTCCTTTCCGAAAGGGGGTTCCTTAGTGGACGTTCGATGATACTCTCTGACTGCCGTGTGATTAACCACACTTCTCTCACTGTCCTTCTTAGTCGTGTCAGCCACATTGAAGTGATTGAATCGCCGAGCAGATCCCAAAACCGATGTAAGTACTTGAGCTCATCGCAGCTAATTGGAACCGATCCTATTCTCATTCGATTCGCACTGGACGACAGGCATTTATAAGAAAATAAATTTTAGTACTTACCTCGGCAGCGTCCCTGGAGCCCTTGTGTTCTTCTGTTTCCCTAGTATGAATGGACGATGAACCGGTCTGATACGAGTCTAGCGTTGCTAGTGGCTGCACTATATAGTCTTTTTTATGTTCATCTTCGACCTCCATGACAAAGTCTGTACAGCTATTATTGGATATATCGTATTCTCCAAACACGTTAAAAGCGATAGAATTACGCGGTTGCGTTTGATTATTAAGCCGTCCGCCAGCAGGGGTGCGACGGAATATCTCGTAGTCCACTGGGTGGCCGTCTTTTCGTGACACAACGCCTGGGCAAGGGGTATCTGTAAAATTCGCCATGCTACCGTAGCGCAAGCTAGATGAAATCAAAGTGATACTATCGTCAGATTTACTGTTTGATGTCTATTGCGACTGCGTTGTTTAGTGGCATTGGTCTTGTTTCTTATACACAACCCGACATTGCTGTGGGATAATAAAGTCGCTAGCGATTGTGGCTTCACCCCTGTAGGCAGTGTTCCAACAGTCTAGTCATCAAAGGATTGAGGACTAACCAATCACACTGATGATTCTGCTGCTGACTTCTTGTACTAAGCTATACAAAGAAGGTGGGGCTACTCAAATCCATTACGTAGCTGCGCGTAAGGGTGAAGCCGCAATCGCTAATTACTGTACAGTACGAGGCATGATAAACTGCAATATGTTACACTCTTATGCACTTGCAGCTTCCGCTGTGTGCAACATAGCCCAATCGCCAACCCATGCGGGACACGGATACACCTGGTGTACGCTTATCCAATACTATTTGGGCAAGATTACCACAGAGACTTACACTCGCTTGCAGAATTGGCTTCCGGTATCTACACTTCGCGCCCTTTCTTACAGCAGGGGAGTCAGCCTCGCTGAGCGGGAGCTATACTTCATACGCTTTAGATTAACTTAAGCCGCCTAGCTCCTGCTAGTATCTGTGATATGATACGCCTTTATCGCTAGAAGTTCGCAAGGGTGTGGCCCGTACGGTCCTCCCTGCTAGTGTCGCTGGGACAGTCCATCGGTTCAATGATGTTAAAGGGGCGAATCTTCAACGTGCACGTAGCTCTGGAAGTAGCCATCTCACTACTTGAATTCAGGGCATGCTCAAAGCTTCTCTATGTCAAATCAATGTATTATATAGTTATACCCATCCCCGGCCCTTTATAAGATAGAGAAGATTACAATATTTATGAGAATAATTTACGTTAACTAAGTGAATGTTGTATCCTAAGTATGAAAGATCTACGCACAGCGGCTAAACATATAACCAGCCAAGCGCAGAGCCAGTCAAGGTTTGGGGTGCGCAGCGTAAAACCTTGGGTCACTCCACGTCGACGTCGGCGCCCTTGTCGAGCAGCAGCTTTACCACTGCCTCGTGGCCTTCAGCTGAAGCCGCATACAGTGCGTTGTCGTGGCGTCTACCCTGGGCGTGGAAATCGGCGCCCTTGTCGAGCAGTAGCTTCACCACTGCCTCGTAGCCTCTAGCTGAAGCCGCCTGGAGTGCGTTGCTATACCCTCCACCCTGGGCGTTGACGTCGGCGCCCTTGTCGAGCAGCAGCTTTACCACTGCCTCGTGGCCTCTAGCTGAAGCCGCCTGGAGTGCGTTGCCGTAGCGTCCACGCCCAGCGTGGACGTCGGCCCCCTTGTCGAGCAGTAGTTTCACCGTTCTGTGATGTCCATGTTCTGCTGCGAGATGTAGGAGAGTCTGGCCCTCGCTGTCCCTTTCTTCTAATATGGATGTTGTCTCTCCTACTTGGTTTAGGAGCAGGGTCTCCAATACAATGGCTAATCCGAAACGTGCTGCAAGATGTAATCCCGTGCTGTCCTTGGGATATCTCTGGCTATACCCTCGATATAGGTAATTTGGTCGTAACAGTGCCTGCGTAGCGCAAGAAACCAATTCTTGGCAAAAAAGAAATGAGCAGGCTAGCTCACATATCTCACCTTCCACTGTTAACGCATGCTCTCCCCAGTGCTTAGCAGCATAGTCTAAGAATTGGCTTACTCGAAGCCTCTCTTCAAATTCTTCGTCAGAGGAGCAGCTCCCAGTTTTGAATATGCTGAATGATAGGTATGTGAGACATCTCGAGGTCATATTTAGTTGAGCGCCTGGATTCCATGTATCTCGGATACGTTCGAAGTATTCTTGGGCGGTGTAATGCACAAGACGGATGACGGCACTTTCTTGGTCAACGACGACGAGTCCAGCACACACGGACAATAGGTCCTCAACATCAGGTATGTTCTCGGGATCGAGCTCCGCCTCGTCCGGCTCTACTGCCAAAGCACAGCAGATCTCTGTCGTAGTAAGTGGCCGTTTCGCATACGTGATCCACGACAGTACTCTTTTGGCTAGTTCGTAATCTCCGCTTAACTGGCCCTCTATGCGATGGATCGCCCCCTTGTATGCGTTATCGAGTGCGGCCGAGCCTTTGGAGAGCTTAGCTAGTGTTGACTTCACGTCCTTCGCCGTTCTCTTGTCTAGCAGCGAATCAGTGTGGAGGCAAGCAAGAAGAAACCTAAGAATATGTAAGTCCGCGTTATATTACGAGTTGGCTAAGACAAACATGCATGCCGTCTACCGCCTCTACGATCTTTTCTTGGACAACCTCCTGTAGCACAGGGTCACGTTGAATACAGTTTGGTAGTCGACATATCTGGCCAGCCACGAATCGCTTCACATCCTCTTCACAAGCCTGCACTTCTAGCTTCAGCCCTTCCTTAAACCAGTCCATAATCTCTGGAATAAAACGCGAGGTAGCCATTAGGCGAACATCATGTCCTGCCTGAAGATTGCGGAGTTTGGCTAGAAACTGGCGCCGAGTGCCGTCGCTGTCCAGACATTCATCCAGAGCATCGACCACAATATAGACAGTAGAGTGATGTGCAAGTACATCTCGGAGTGCGCTGAAGATCTCATCAGGCGATGGCCTGGTTCCTCTATCAGCATGCTGTTTGTGCAACCGTTCCACAGGATCCACTAGTGACAGTCGAGCCTGCACTAGCTGCTTGAGGATAGCTGCCAACATCCTCGAAGTATCCTGCTCCTCCCGAGCCTTGTAGTTGCAGTATACGTAAGCAACTCCATGTGAGCCGCTCTGCACTGATTTCAATAGCTGGTCGATCGCAATGGCGGCTACCATGGTCTTGCCAGCCCCCGGGATACCTGGGCAGAAGAGTGTTGCCTGGTGTTCACTGAGCCACGTAGCCACCTGAGGCGCATCTAGAAACCATTGGCCTGTTCCCTTCTGTCTGCGGTTTATGATGTCGGATTGTTGTGCGGGGTAGTCTGAGGGAGAGATCCATTCTAGAATCCTACGGTGCTTCGCGGCATCTTTATCTTGCCAGATCTCGTCTACGTGCGTCCGAACTAAGTGGGTATCGTCTTTGATGGTTTGGGAGAGTTTGCTTTAGGATGTAAGCAACGTCACTCTACCGTCCTAGTAGGGAAGCTTACAAGTGGTCCATCTGCAACGCGATCTCTACAAGCGACTTCAAACGCTCTATTCGATCCAATATACCAGCAATCTCCTCCTTCTTGAACTTCCACACGAGCGCTTCACCTACTTTCTTCAATCGGCCTCTATCTGTAATCTTAGTCTGCAGCGCTTCGAGTGCCTGCTTGAACTGGTCAAGTGGTCCCTCTCGGACTGCCAGTGCTCCGACGGCGGTACACCATGGCTGGCTACGAGCTCCTGTTTCGATATGATCGCGGAGTTTATAAAGCAGGCTGCAAAGGTTTAGCAGTTCAAGTGCACACTGCGTGCGATCTTTCGAAGCATCCTTCACGTCATTTAGGTACTCGAGGACCTTGCCTGAGAGCTGGAGAACTGCGATGATGCTGGCTGTGACGCTGAGCGGATCCATGTCGTGAAATCGGTATAGGTGGCAGATACGTATGGAGGGGAGGCGGAAATAGAGGAGGACGGCATTGTCTAGGCGGAGGAGCTGAAGCGGGAGCAGAGGGCTGAGGGATTGCGGCTGCAGCAAGGCTGAACAGCTCGTTGTGCTGCGCCGCACCTTATCGATAACGCCAGATTGTCGTGGCATTGAACCGATGAACTATCCCAGCGACGCTAGCAGGGAGGACGGCCGACCCGTGCCAGCCACACCCTTGTAATCTTCCAGCGGTAGAGGCGTATTGTAACTATTACAGATACTAGCAGGAGCTAGGTGGCTTAAGTTGATCTAAGCCGCACATGACATAGCTTCCGCTAAGCGAGGCTGACACCCCCTGCTATAAGAAAGGACGCGAAGTGTAGATACCGGATGTAACGATGTTACAACTTCGCCAAGTATTGAGCCAATCCCAGAGCCGGATCGGAGGAAGTACCTGCCGCCCTTCATCAGCCATTCGCCCGAGGTCGGATCCGAATTCGGACCCGACTAGGATAGGTATATATTGAGACACTCCCTGTAGCTAGCTCTGTAGACTTTTGATATCCTTTCGTACAAGGCCTATAGGTGGCTTGTTGAATCTAGGCTCTTTGTGATCCCACGCACTCCCATATGCCTCTGAGTGATCCTACGACCGAAACAGATCCGACCTGCCTTACCTGCGCCGTTACACCGGAAGCCGATTGTGCAAGCGAGTGTAGCGTAGGATCAGTGGTCTCCTGTTTACAAAAACCGGAAGCTGCAACTGCATGAGAGTGTGACAGATGACGAATACAGACACGAGTGATATAATAGGAAGAGCATAACCACTACTTAGTTGTGATGACGGGGATATTGGGCACCTGGAGCTAGCTGATGTAAACAGTGAGCAAGGATTCATAGAAAACCCGTCATCAAGATGATTATGTAATGTCACTAGCGTATTATGCTACGCGTTATCTCATAAATCAGACACTTCGGCTCGTAGCGAGATCACACGTGATCTAATAAGTAGGGCTTTTATTCTGGCTATTGTATGGCTATCGCCTTTTTAGAGCAACCTGTATTCTTTACTGAATGTATGATAATAACGACAGAGGGAATAGTCTTAGTACTAACTGTAAATAAGGCTAAGTAATTGCGCATAACATCGAGCGAAAAGAGCTAGATGAGAAGTGAGAGCGGCTCGTGATGTCGTGCAGCTTCCTACTTGCGAAATCTGATCTAGGGAGCGAAGTGGGGCGTTGCCGTTGGCCCGCGCAACGCTGTTGTTTGGCCAGTGCTTTTACCCCGTCCATTTTCATGTTTACTTCCTATCTAACCTCACGATAAGCGCCTCATCTTCTTAGATACGCCAACAAATTTCCTAACCTGCCAATATATCGACCATCGCTTACAATATCTTATCGGCGGCACATTTGACTATCCTGCGGCCATGGCGGATCTATCGCCCAACTACAAGCAGCTGTACCTCGAGGAACAGCGCAGACGCGAAGAAGCCGAACGTGCACAGGGCGAAGAACGAAGTAGACGCGAAGAAGCCGAACGAGCACAGGGCGAAGAACGAAGCAGACGCGAGAAAGCCGAGATGACGACCCGCAAGACGACACTGCCCGAGTTCCTCGACGCATGCCACGACCACCTGCACGCAAGTCTGACAGTTCAGACGGATACGACGCTGTCGACGCGAGGCGACCCTGCAAACGCGAATAACAAGCTCCGGCCCCAAAGACTCCGCATCTGGGATGACTTCCCTGCGCGCCAAGCAGCCATCTGGGAGGCGATCATGGAGTCGGGGTTCGCTCTGGAGCGGCATTTCACCTCAGTGCATACCTTGAGTGAGTCTGGAGAGACTATCCAACAACGTATGATGAGCTCGGAGCTGGACTTGCACCTCTTCCAGCGGTCGACGGTCGAGCAGCCCGTGTCGCAGATCATCAAGCAAATGCACAATGACCGAGCGCTGCGACGCAAATTTGGCCTGCGTGGCTCTGTGAACTTTGAGAACCACGCCAACACACTGAGCCCAGAGCAAGAGGTGGAAGAGGGCATGCACAACCTATCGGTGTCTGGCGGGGGCCCACGAAGATCACCACGCTTGCAGGCAAAGGCCAACGCGTCGTCCTTAACGGAGCTTTCAGCGACCACCCGCAATAGCACGTCGCGATCTTCTCGCCCCCGGGCCGACCAATTCTGCGTCTACAGCACGGGCGAAGAGAGCCGTACGGCTGCGTTCGTCATCGAGTACAAGGCACCACACAAGATTCCGCTCGGCTACATCTACGAAGGGCTGGATGACATGGACTTGGACGATGTCGTCGAATGCCGCGAAACCGAGAGCCCGCGGGACCGCTTCCGCCGCCTAATGGCTGCAATCATCACGCAAGCATTCTCCTACATGGTTCAGGTCGGCGTGGAGTACGGATGCGTGTGCACGGGCGAGGCGAACATCTTCTTGCGCGTGCCGCATGATCCCACAACCGTCTACTACTTTTTGTCTGTGCCAAAGGGCGATGTTGGCGATACGACCGGATGGGTGCCAGACGCCGACGGTCCAAACCGACTGCACCTGACGGCTGTCGGGCAGATGCTGGCGTTTACGCTGCAAGCTCTGAGAACGCCGCTTCGAAGCCACAAGTGGCGGAAGGAGACATCGGCTCGGCTGAAGAGCTGGGAGGTCTTGTACAACGTACTGCTGGACGACATCCCATCGCACGAGGCACCGTCGTCAGAATACCGGCCGCCTCGAAACACAGAATTTCTTCGCATGTCGCCTGTGCGGCTTCGGCAACGACGAGCACGCATAGGCGAACCCGACTGCTCGCAGCCGCAGGATCAGCGTAACACCAGCGACGAAGAGCCTGATCCAGATACACCAAGCCGACAGCCACCACCACCACCATCAACATCATCATCATCAACATCACCACCACCACCGCCCTCACATCCATCTCGTTCGCGACCCACTGCCGGCGTTTCTTCATCTGATCGCAAGTCAGGCAACACAGGACGAGATGGAAAGTACTGCACTCAGAACTGCTTGCTTGGCTTAGTGAGGAATGGTCCTCTTGACGTCGCGTGCCCGAACGCGAGGCTACATGGTACAGACCGTCATCGGTTGAGCCGGTCGACGTTCCTCAAGCGCATCCGCCAGCAGCTGTCCGAGGACCTAGACCAGAACTGCGAGGCTATAGGGCTTCATGGAGCGTGTGGCGTCCCCTTCCGTGTCAGACTGGAGTCCCACGGATATACTGTGGTCGCCAAAGCTTGCCCGATCGAGCTTGTGTATCGTCTCAAGTGGGAGGCCAAGATCTACGATCGCCTGTGGCCTATACAGGGCACGCATGTGCCAGTGCATCTGGGCAACATCGACCTAGAGGTTCCGTACTACTACGAGGGGATTTGTGAGCTCAAGCACATGATGTTCCTCAGCTACGGTGGCAAGCGCATGGACAAGCATTTGGCAGCGGACAGCAAGTCGTTTGTTTCACAGCAAACGGAGGAATCAGTGCAAGCCGTTCGTTCACTCGGAGTACTGCACAACGACCTCGCACAACGGAACATGCTGTGGGAGGACCAAACACGCCGAGTGATGGTGATCGACTTCGAGCGGGCAGAGATGGTGGAACCGCGAAGGGCGCTGGGCGCTATCTCGGCCAACGTGAAAAGGAAGCGCGCCTTTCGTGATGAAGACAGCAGACTCGCACAGGAACGACATGGGGCACTTGATGAGCTGATGGTCAAGGTCGATGACTTGGGTTTGACGCAGTTAGGATCTGGCATGCACATGCAACTACAAGCAAAACCCCCACTACAACACCACCACTTCACACTTGAATAGAAGATTAAAAAGAAAAGCATATATATTCTCAAAGTCTGCGATTTACTTCCAATAGTCAAGAAAGCATAATCTCACGTCATTGTGGTGTTATTGCGTTCTTAAGGTGGGTGGTTTTGGCTGCCAAAAAGGCCCTATACCACTTTCGAATTTCGCGGACACCACTAAACCCATTTTGGAACTCCATCTTAGATTTTAGCCACAACAGCCAACAGCCATGAATTCCGGCCATGCTACTCCGTACTCCGCACACCTACAGCGTACAATACACGGCCGTGTAGAATTGTAATGGGCTAAACGCCCTTTATACATCAAGTGTTTGCTCCACAGAGCGTAGTCCATTACATACAGGGTTACTAGAAAAGTCTCTTATAGTCCTCCTCATAGCTTGCTAGACTGTAGATATACAAGGATACCAAAAAGGGTTTTCCTAGTAACTCTAATGGTAACTGGAGACCTCACAGCTTAGTGTGTAGGAGTTGTCGCTACACACAGTGTGTACTAAAGAGGTTGGGAAGCTGACGTCGTCTGAAATAGATTGAGGTAGGGTACGCTCGAGCCTTTCCCCTGACACACCAGGCTGTATTCTCACCACAGGCCTTGTCCCCGTTCCTCTACTCTTTCACAACATTCATTTTGATATCTGATACAACTATAGCGTACAATGTTGAACAGAAACACTACCTGCCAGAAAAAGCGAGGTCGGCCGCCTAAATACACATCTACAGAGGAAAAGAAGGCGGCCGACGCGGAAAGAAAACGCACCCAGAGGAAGGCTAAGGCCCCAGAAGAGCGAGAGATACCATCTAAACAACAGCATATCGGAGGCCCAGGGCAGGCTGTATTCTTTTGGCCGCTTCTACCACAGCTGGTTCAAGGCGGACCATAATATCCGTGCCCCAGATTGCGGGAAGAACCAATCTAGGTATGAATGTTACCTACAGAGCTGGACGAAGTACTCGCCGAGATACTGGGCAGTAATCCAAGGCGACGATCCTAGTCGGCAAGAGGACCAAGAGCAACTGCAATTGCAACCTGCAACCCAAGGAGAATACTTAACGCGAATGGAGGACGAGGAAGAAGAACAGCGTTTTGACGGTGGGTCCAGCACAGTAGCGCTGGACATGGAGCTTGAGCACAACGAAAATACTGAATGGCCCACATGGTTTGCTCGTAAGCCAATCCATCTCATTGTCGCAGCTGCAGCACTGCCTTCCGCAAGAACATCAGAAGATCTCTCACTAGGGCTTTGGAATGGGTTTGAGTGTGTGAGCCTAGCACTGATGGAGAGAACCATCTGGAAAATACTGGACGCTAGCAAAGTCGTGTTTCAGCGATGCGAAATGACGCTTAAGCAGACTCTGCGCATTTTGCGTTGCTGGCTTCGGAGTTGGACCCCGTCTTTTCTTCCTTACCCGTTCGAGTCGCCTCAACGTGAACAGACCCGCGGAAGATACTATGTTATCCATGAGCGGTTTCTCTCCTAATATTCCGCATCCTAGCACTGTCGCGAAACATAAAAGAACCCACAAGTGAGATCTCTGGACTGGAGCTAAGTACAGCTCAGCTTGCTCAGATGAACCATATCTGGGGCTATCTTTCTATTGTCATTGAGCAGGAAGGCTGCGGTGTGTTACTCGAATCGTCGTTTGATGGTGTCTAAGAGAATCTTTTTCAGCTTCTTGTAACGTTTTGGACGGACCTTTCCCACGACGGAAACATGAACCGCAGCGCTATCATGCATTTCTCCGGGGTTCTAGGGATTCATCCAACAGAACTATGTTTCCGTAAGCCATATGACTACACGCCGTTCATATTAGCACTCCTCTGGGTGGGACGTTTGGTCATACTTGAATACGCCCTACCACTCAGACCATACAAACTTCTCAAAGTCCCTTGGCCTGAGCGGACTGCCTACGCCGACCAAGCCCAGCGATTACGTGAGCAAATTCGACCAAAATATTTGCAGCGTGGCAGCTTTGCACCAGCTGGTTTTCTTATCGAAAGACTCCAGCATGGACGAGCAATTGCTAGGCGCGAAGGCCCTCGAACGAACATATCCTGGTCTTCAGACGGCTTGACCCTACACATTGCGGACACTCAGATTCACATGCGCCAATTTCGCGAAACATAAACAGTGTTATACTGCGATTAAAAACCTTGCACAGGAGCTCCTTTTCAATTGGTGGCCAGACATCCAACTTGATGCCTTGCTCGACGATCTTGCCAGCATACACCCAGGACGGCATACTTCTCTCGCGCGTGTTCCAGGGATCGACTGACAGCGACGTCTTTGAGGACTTCATCGAGCAGCTGCTTCAGCACTGCGGCCGCTGGCCAGAGCCTAAGTCTGTGCTGGTCATGGACAATGCCTCGTTCCACCACACCGATCGTGTCAGAGAGCTGTGCGACTGTGCGGGCGTGAAGCTGGAGTTCTTGCCGCCGTACTCGCCTGACCTTAACCCGATCGAAGACTTTTTTGGCATCTTAAAGGGCTTTATCAAGAAGAACTGGCAGGAGTACGAGAGCCACCCTGAACAGGACTTTGCGGCGTTTCTCGAGTGGTGCATCAGCGTCGCGGGTGGCAGGCAAGACATTGCTAAAGCGCACTTCCGGCATGCTGGGGTCATGTTGGAAGAATGTTAATTAAGGCGTAGGTAGTATAATATAGTTCGACTAGCATATCTCGTATCTAAGCGTACTCACGACGCTATTTCTAAGAATGGCGGTGCTCCTCACACGGGACGGTACTGTACATCACACTAGTCTTCCTTGTCCCTTGTATACTCCACTTTATATAGCTCAGCCCATGTCTCAATGTCTCTGACGAACCGACGTGCCACTCCCCGCTTGACTCCGCTCTGGATGAAGAAGTCGGCGTCTTGGTCCTCAAACACCTGCTCTAAGTCTAGTCCGTCCCGCAGCGTCACATCGCACGCCTTTTGGTACTCAAGCTGCAGCGTCTGGTCCACCACCTTGAACTGCTGCCAGTCGCCATACGCTGCCACGGCTATGTCGCGAGGGCCGGGGATGTCAAGACAGCACTTTCCTGATGATGGCCGCCTGTACATCGCACCGCTACTAACCAATGCAGATGAGGGCGACTCGCTAGCTGGAGACGGCATGACGTTGTTGATCGTGATTGGGGGAAGACTCGGCGTTAGCGCGCCACTGGTCGTCGTGCGCCGTTCGAGTCGTCGCTGGTTCTATGCATACAACTGATCACGGATGTCCTGGCACATCGTCATGGCTTTCTAGTCGATGGCCCTGCTCGACCAATCTCACTAGCGCTCTAAGATGGTGAGCGTTTAGCTTATAGTGCTGCTTTCCAAAAGGATCACGCCAGCAGTATGGACCAAGGTTACACGGCGAGCCAGGACATCGCATCATGGTATACACGCTTACCCAGGCAGAGGGCTGCCCGCTACTCTGTTGCTCGGCATCGAGCTGGGAGGCCCGGTCGGCGAGCATTCGCTGAGTAGCATACGAGCCCCTCTTGGTTCCACGGCTCGCTGCAACCGAGGACGAGGAGACGGAGTCTGTATAGTTGAAAGCAAGGTTCACTTTTAGCCTCTTGCCAGCACGGAACAGCTCGCTCCATTGCACAAACTGCCTCTCTACCACCGACCAGTCAATGTTCATGTCGTCGAACCGCCTTGTCAAGTCGCTCTCTGAGCGGTCTTTCACCGATGCTACAACGCTGATATCGTCCAGCTCTACGTGGCTGCTGCGTGGCAGCTTCTTGTCTACAAGCTTCTCAACCTTGGCCTGAAGGTACATGCGCCAGTACACAGCAGGTGCCAAGACGACATCCTGCTCTGTGTCCTTGGCGATGGCTCCATTGTCGACGGCTATCTTCCACTCAATCGAGTAGCGCAGATGGCTCGGTGTTTCCTCTTCATAGCTGTTGTGTTCGTCCCACTCAGCCAGTGGGAGGAAGCCAAGTCTTTCTGTATCCGCCTGTATCATGCTGTTGCAGCCTCGCGAGGTGTGAGAGCGCAACACGCGACTCGTCGTGCGATGGCCCGAGACCGACGGCGTTTCTGGTGGGAAGGTCAGGCCACCGTCCACCGACTGGACATCGCTGAGCGTGTCGTACCGCTGCGTGAGATTAAGGGGGGTATCCGCTTCGTAGGAGAAAGGACTCGTCGTTTTTCGAAGATGGCGCGGACCGACCTAGTTTCTGTTCACGTGGTAGTGCGGCTTCGAGAGGCTTCTCGGACGGCCCCGACAAGGCCAGCAACGACTCGACTCTGCCGAAGAGAGAACAAACTCAGCTCACGAGAAGCTGCATGCCTACCTGAACAGCTGTCGAACAAGTAATAGAACGGAGAAGAATCAAATGGAAACCACTCTGCATGAACGAATCCCTTTGTAGTCCCTTCAGCCAATTACCGCAAGGGTGACAATGACGCTCACGTGGAAGCGAGGCTCGTACTTGCACCACGCCAAGGGCCGTCCGCAAACCATGCGTTAGGATAAGTGAACAAGTACATGATGGGGTCGATAGCGATCACATTATTATTGTTACTAGCAAGCAAGCAAGCCAATGGCGTTATCGCGTCGCGGTCACGCTTGCTGTTGAGCCACTACAGATCCGGGATAGGCTACAAGCACGCCAGCAACCTATGCCTATATGGACTTGTTGCCAAGATCTGCGCGACAAACCTAGAAGGACCACATGAGAGTGCATAAGCTGAAGGAACTCTAGTTAGACCGCGGGCGCGCAACAAGCGTCATGGACGAAGTCGCAAGCAGGCTAACTAGGGGTGCAGCAGGCTTTCTACAGCCCAGCCGAGCCGACCAGTCTGTCGGGATGCACGGCTTAGCCTTGTACCCTACTAAGAAAGGTTCTCCACAATGGCTCGGACCTAGCTGCATAGGTTTGTGTGGGGTCGCACAAGCGCCGTGCAGCTCGCGGCTGAGCATCAGTAGGGTTTTATTGGTCGTGCGAGAGATGCTGGCATGACGGCCTGTGAACATCCTTCCTATTAGACTAACCTATTTTATTGTGCTCAGGACAAGGTTTTCTACCACTCTTTTAGCGGACTGTTCGAATACCGATAAACTCACTTGCAGAATCAGCTTCCGGTTCAAGCACGTCCCACATTGTCTCACCTTGCACAGCCCCCGCACTGCTAAAGCGCTTGCTCAATTAGATCTAGCGGCTGACACATGCTTGCGAAATTCTTCTCGAATGTTCTTGGATTCATACACTGCGCCACTTTTTCCTTTACCCAGATAATCGTTTATTAACTTTGCCTCTAGACGTTTTCTTACCTCTTCTTCATCTTTGAGGTTTTTTACCATGGATGGCTGGCGCATGACCGATGTTTCTAAGGAATCGCACCAATGCCAGTACTGCGATAACATCATATTTGCAGTTGGCGATTCAGTTTCGTTTTCATATAAAGATGCAGAGCAAGCACGACAGGCTGAATGCGAATTCTTCCAGTTGATTCTCGAAAAATGTCCTGTCAAGGATGCTGTTTCATTATTGGAACACCCGACGTTGGAAATATATTGCGACAGTGAAATGCAGATTTCTGCTAAATGGATGTTTCCTAGCGACCCAGCTTCCACCGAAGATCGCAGCGCCACAATTCCTATTTTCGCTCCACCTCCAGAAGATAGCTCGGGTTTTGGAATATCGTTACCAAGCCCGCTGAATCTTACTCCAGGGTCACATGAGAGTTTTTCTACTATACGTAGGTGGCTCCGTCGGTGTGAAAGACATTCGTGCTGCAAAGATTCACACAATTGGCAACGCCCTACTCGACTTGTCGACGTTGGCAATAAAGACAGCAAAGATGTACGCATCTTTATCACCAATCCTGAACGCCCTGTAAAATACGCAGCTCTCAGCTACTGTTGGGGAGGTGATCAAAAGTCAAAGACAGTATTTGAGACACTGGAAAAGAGATGCAGAGGCTTCCCATTAGCGGAACTTCCGAAAACCATCCGGCATGCCGTAGTTACTGCGAGGAGACTTGAAATACCATATCTTTGGGTTGATGCATTATGCATTCTCTAGGATAATGACGCTGACAAAAAACGAGAACTGCCTATTATGGATCAAATCTATGCGGGCGCTTTCCTCACCATTTCAGCAGCAAGAGCAGGAAGAGCCGATCATGGCTTCCTTCAGCCGAGAAATTTGAAGCAATGCTACGGAACATTGTGCCGAGTACGATACCGCCAAAGCGTAGAAGGAGAAAAGCTGCTAGGTTATATCGCTGCAAACCCTCTGCACGTTGCATTCGATGACCCCATCGACCCGAGAGGGTGGACTTTCCAGGAGCGTCTGCGATCTTTCCGCACTCTTCGGTTCGGCGTGAGACAAACAGTGTGGCAATGCTCTTGGGGTGAGAAAGTCGACGGCGGCCAAGACTACGTGAAAAGGTTCGCGTGGTCGACGGAGGAATTTAATCCGTCGAAATTTACCGGCGCGCCAACCGATCGACCCTATCCATACCCCCTTAGCGACCCAAATCACAAGGATCAACTAGACGAAGTTTGGGATACCTGGCAGACAATGGTTCGAGAATACTCTTCATGTACTTTAGGACAGAGCACTGACAGACTCCCTGCCTTTGCTGCTATTGCAGAGGCCTTTGGACGCTATCTGAAGCTGGGACCTGAACAGTACTATGCGGGACTCTGGGCTCTCGATGCTTGTATGCAACTGCGATGGCGGAGACCAAAACACGCGCAAAAAGATTGGCAGTGCAAGGAGAGACATGGACCAACATGGTCATGGGCATCGCTAGACGATGCTGTCAAGTTTGATGATCAACGACTACCGATGGGTACAGATACGCTTGAGTTGGTCCACGACGAATGCCACATGACGTGGGAATCGCCGAACTTCAAGTACGGCCAAGTGAAGTCTGGGAAGCTAAAGGTCAGAGGGCTTTTGCGTCGGTTGCGTTTGACGGACGGGAAATTCATCAGTTGGCACCATGGTGAACAATGTGGCGTTCTTCTCCCACTGGAGGCTCATTTTGACTGCAATGAAGAAAGAAGTTCCGAACTATGGTGTTTAGAAATTAACACATACGCTATACATGATGCTGTGAATTCGGTCGGCATTCTCCTGGCTAAGACAGGCGACAATGTCTATAAACGGGTCGGTTATTTTAAATTCGACCATACAAAACTGATACCAGAACCGATCCTGAAGGGGCTACACAAACCAGGCTTACCACCGAATTCCAATTGGTTCTATAATGGTGGATTTCAGGACATTTATACTGAGTAAGCAGTTAGCGTAGATCAAAGTGTTTGTAACTTTCGTATTCATATTGCCATTCAAATAACGGCGATGTATCGTGGTTTGCCAATGAGCCATTGTCGGTTACTGGTAATTAGGCGAGATGGTATATTGAGACTAGTAGACACATGTAATCAGATAGTTTTCCTGATAGAGTTATTCGTAAGGACGTTAGATCGGAAGGTAATTGTGAAAGTGAGTGTAATTTATACGCGTTAGATCCGACGGTAGCACGAGATCACGAAGTAGCCTAGAGTAGCATTAGGGCTTCAGTAGACCGGTAAATGGGCGTAGGGCACCCAGCTCGGGCCTGGGTCGGGCCTAGGGCCACTAAGATCGGGCTGGGTCGGGCTGGGTCGCTTAGTAATCTGACCCGACCCAGCCCGACCCGGCCCATTTGACCAGTCTAATTACAACACTCTAAAGATCGGAGCGGTTTCCTTTTGGCTAAGGGTTAGAGCGCTTTTGCAAAGCCAAGCCTAGATGAGATAGCTATGCATACACTAAGCTCTATCTGGCAGGATGCTAGCTTAGCGCGACAGGGACCCCTGCAACTTCGAAACTGCGTGCTGTATTAGGACCGGAAGCCGATTGTGCAAGCGAGTGTAATCCTTTCGCATAACTATTCATTGACACTATGCTGACAAAGATGCTAACAACTGAATGGTAAGCGATGACCTCAAGAACTTTCCCGCGTGGCTACAGTAATCTCCGCTGGTCATCAATTTGCTGCTATTATGTCACTAGTTAGTTAGCTAAATGTGTCGCGGCATGATTAGACAGTATGTAACTAAATGTCTGGCTCAAGCGTCTAATTAGATGATAAGTATCATTACAGCCTGTGAAGAGCGGTCGCAAAACGCTTATGTTCAGAATACTTACGCCGTGAACCGTGAGCAATTTAGAGGATTCGGCCAAGAACCGTGCTACAATTACATGATTACTTAACAACAAGCACATTAGTCAATTTCGAAGTGCTCAGTATCAAGCATTACAGTACTCAACAATAGGTAAGCCATATATAGTCCCACTTGGGTATTCGGTTCTAGAATCCCTCCCCCCCTTCCCCCCTCCCCCTCCGTATGGAAAGCAGCTGTAACCTAAGTATATGGTACAGACAACCCACGCGTATCTAATGTACTAACTTTTACGATGCTATAAGAGATGTAGCGTAAGTTATTAGATGAAGTCTAGTAGAGAGTTGTTGTTCGTGGGTGTGGCTTGTGCTCACTAAGAGTTGTGCTTAGGGTTTAACCCTAAGTTAACGTAGTCTACTTGTAGTGTGGCGCCACCCTCTACGTGCTTTGGGTCTTGTAAGGGGCTCGACCCCGGAGGGTAGTCTTAAGCTCGGGAGCACGATCGGACAGGCCAAGGTAACAAGATTGTATTCGATAGAGAGCTAAGCTCTCGGCTACGTAGCTATCTATATACAATGCTGGTTGCTAGGGTAACAATCGGGCCGGGCAGGTGGAGTAAACGAGGTCGTAGACGAGTATGGGAGGGGAAGGGCGTTCAGCCCGTTACAGGTCTAGCGTGAATCCACACAATATTGCATGCTCCTGGCAGCAGGATGCGCAGTAAAGCCAACTTCACTGACAAGCACTATTCTTGTCTTGCATCAGTAGTCGTGTTTAGATCGTAGAAATGAGAAAAAGGAAAAATGTTGAAGCCTACTTCTGTCTGGGTAGGATGGCTGGAAAAGACAGTTAGGTGGAGGGGGTTGACGCGTGACGCGTGCACGGCCGGTTTTCAGAAATTTGAACAAGGTTCAGGTAGCGATACCGTACGTCATTGTTCAAGAATGTGGCGCGTTGCGAGCGGGGTCTCAACCTTATTTATTGATAAGCTGGCAGTCACAAACTCGGGCAGCTATGGCTTATGAAAATTATGTTCGCGACCTCTCGTACTTGACATCTGGTGATCTATCAGACCTGACCCTGAACTTTAGCGACAAGAGCTGGCGGATCCACAAAGCTCTTATGGTCTGTCACTCCAAATGGTTTCAAAAGGCTCTCACCGGCGGCTTAGTGGTAGTACATTGTGACCGAAGTATTTCCAAGGCCTAACCTGTATAATAGGAGACAAGCAGTGAAGCAATCACTTTGCAAGATGATCCAGTATACACGAATGCAATTGACTGCATGGTGTCATACATCTACGGGGCAGACTACAATGTCTCTAAATTCGACACTCTAGAACCTCTCCTTCATGCACAAGTTACTATAATCGCCGACAAATACGACTGTGCATCTCTTTGCAAGCTTGCAAAAACGTCATTTGCGAATACGGTAATGACTGTCAATCCCAGCGACTGGGCCGTGACTGCTGCCTTTGTCTACGACTACACGACAACTGTGCCACCAGCTCATGTGGAGCTAAGGAACTCAGTTGTCGCTGCCGTTGCGGGTCGCCATTCCATGTTAAAAGCAACCCTACGAGAGGAGAGGGTACTCGATGTCCTACGTTCAAACGCAGACCTGGCAACAGACCTTCTGCTAGGTGGGCGACATGGACCTAAGGTAGAAGGAGTCTCCGAGCATCATTTCATTTGTGGTCATTGCTATTACTGTCATACCGGATCGCGCGGTTGCCCGAATACAACGTCTGTCAGTAAAACGGGCAAGCCGGTGTGTCCTAAGTGTAGGAAGAAAACCGGGAACCCGATACATCACACACCATTGGTCAATATATACCCGGCTTTCCCTTGCGTATCATGTGACGGATTCCACACGACAGATCTCGATGATGAAGATTTGACATGAACCGCAACTATTCGTAAAACATGCACTTCAACACGAATACTTAATATTTCATTAGAGAACTTCAACTCTCACTCTATGATATGAACGAAAGGAGTCTCTTTGTCTGAATTTACTGCGAATCTTGTCCACTTCACTAAAAAACGCTCTTGCTCTAAAGTTAATCGTTACTGGTTGTAATGTGTTATCGTGTGTGGTTATTAGTCTGCTGAACAGCCTTACAGCATTAATCGCGGGGCCATGTACTGATGTGTAGCAGCCCGCTCGATCCCAAAAACACGAACTAAGATCTGAAACAATATCCTATTTAAAAACCTCCAGTGGATCTATATGGAAAGTGCAGCGTTGAAAGAATCACGACTTCGAATTGTGTGGCTACTTTGGGTGGGGTGGCCGAAAACCATATGTGGCTGGAAAGTATATTGCCCGAGCTTGTACATACCCCGCATTCAGTTTATATAGTAGCCCCGCCTTCACGTCATGATTTGGATCGCTACCTAAACATATCAAAGCTCCGTCCAACATTACTAAATAACGACATAGCATCTCGACAATTTGCAGCAGTATGAGTGATTCGACGCTAGAGGACGCTTTTGCAGGGCTGCACATAGGGGATCAGTCCGAGTACAGCTACAATGATATTTCTGAGTCGTTCCAACATACGGAGTTCGTAAGAAATTCTCATGCTTTGTCACTTTTTCGCGTCAGCTGAGACAACTATCAAGGTACAGGATGTCTTCCAAGATTACCAGTCTCACCCGGCGAACTCGTTCGAAAGACCAATCTACTACAGAGTTGTCCACGCGGATTCCTGGAATGCTGAAAGTGACGATATCCAATCAAAGCTGCATCCGCCGCCATCGTTCCAAACCCTGACTGTACAGCAGGTGCGTGGGTACGTTAATATGCATGCAGTTCTATCTAACCGTGTGCCTACTCCGTTCATCTCGGCAACAATCGATCTTGTTCGAGCCTTACATATCACCTTTTGCACATACAAAGAACGTACAAAAGTAACTATTCTGCTTATTTGTCCTTGGAGACTGGAACCAGGAAGTTTTATGGCGTGCAACGATTTAAGGGCTGGGTGCGGCTTAGAACCTAAGTCGATTTACGACACCGAAGTGATGATCTGGGGCCAAGTTCCATCGAGGGCTATTCTCTACCGGTGGGATCGGGAACATGTTTGTCGTAGCGGATTACTTGACGTGTTCCCGTGTATCGCCGACTTAAAAGTCACAACGCGACTCCAAGATTTGCGAACGAAACTGAAGGACGACTACCCCCAATTTTCCGCTAAGAAGATAGCTAGTGCACTCTTGTGTCTAGGTATGTCGCCTTCTGAGTTACACATCAAACAAGTTTTCCTCTTTTTACTTGGCCAAGCTGTTGGATATGCCGTCCAGAAGAATTTAGATAAGACGGACGCACATCTTCGCACGTTGTTTCCACTTCATATTGATGAGTTTGAGGACGCCATCTTTCACCTAGCCACATTACGTGGGAGACAGAGCATTCTATCGTACTTCAAGAAAGTATACGCCAAGGATGTTCGACAACTTTGTCCCCAGACAGATCCTTTTGGAATCCTCACGGACCGCAAGTACCAGCGAAGGTGGAGAAAGTCATGGTCCATGAGAATCAACGACAGATTCTGTCCAAACTTTCGATCGTGGTGGATACGCAGGGAAGAGACAGACCTTAGCGAGCTTGAGATGCAAGAGATACTTGATCAGGACGCACATGGGCTGAGGGAATGGCTTATAAGCTGTTCTACTTGAAGACCGAATGATCACAGGGCGTCTCAATTTGTCGCTATGCGCTACCTATTCGTTGACGCTGCTTCGTTGGCTCTTTCAAGGCTAGTAATCCGATCGCGCATTAGCTCAGCTGAGAGCATCATCATCTCTGCCCCCTTCTTGAGCTGGTTAATCGCCTCAATAATCGAGGCAGATAATGAGCTCTTGTGCAGTCGTACGCGATCACGTATCAACGTTGATTAAGCCTTGAACTCACGTACGTTGCTCAGCGTACGAGCCTCCCAGAGAGCCTTTGGTAGAGCAGATGGAGCAGGCGTACGGAGCTCATACTTTCCACCATCATTCGGATGCGTTGGATGTCTGGATTGAAGTCTTGCAACGATGTATGTACCTTGGACTATGCCGGATTAACTTTGGTAAGTAACATCAAGATCAAGATGAGATACATCAGCGCAGATACGAGCAGTAAGAGTTGTACACCCGGTCATCATCTCGGAATAAGGATCTTGTGATACCAGCTTCAAAAAGCTCCATTTAAGAGTGGTCGGGTAGACTAACTTACTCGATGCCGAAAACGGGCGAGGACCAGCGTAGCTACATCACTCAGCTCAGCTGAAGCTTGGGCTAGTGGGCGGTCTGTGTCTATCACAAGATTCCAAGTTGTTGGAAGTTATAGAGCTTACTGACTCGCGCGTATACATTCAGCTGCGGCTGTCGACTAGGCACCGTTCCGTTCCATTCCATGGGTCGGCACGCTTATTCGGTTCTATCATTACGCATCGCCATATATGAAATAACGCGTCACAGCGACTGTACGACGCTAAAATGCGGCTTCTCCGTGGGGTTGTACACTCTCACGCATTTGCAGCTTCCGCTTTGCACACGCGGCTCAGTTGTCAACTCGCATGGGTCACCAATTCTCCAAGTATATTATTATTATTATTATTATTCCATTAGAGTCTATCTGCAGTCAGTGACTATGTAAG